TGCCTTCGGTCATTCCAGTGAACTGACTTTTCCCTAATCCCCAGTGCAGCATCCCCAGCAATCATGTTTAATTCTGTGATGTCATCCCATGGCCACAGCTAAAGGGAGTAAAGGTGACAACCTGACAAGACTGGGCCAATCTCATTCTGTCTGCTAGGAATTTGGAATGGAGATTCAGAGATAGCCTTCTTCTGCTTCACCCTTGATGGGTACTTGACCAAGTCTCAAGAGACAATGGGAGATAACTGAGCTAATTGCTTTGCCACTGGATACAAGAACTGCCACTGGCATCCTAGGTCATGAAAATTATCCCTTCTTACCACTTGGCCTCTATTTGGACATTTCCATAGTTATCATGGATGTTACTTTCAAACCCCATTCCTGGCACCAAGTTCTGTGTTATTTATGGGTTGTATAAGGATTTTAAAAGAGAGAGAGAGATTCCACAATTAGATGAAAGAGGGTATTACAGAATCCTAGTGTATTTTTTGGCTGTCTATAATCTGAAACCTTTTATTGTGTCTCTGTGTGCATGTAATCCCAATTTGATGAGACAGAGACCATTTCCAATTATAAAAGTTGAAAATGCCAGGTACTCCCTTTCTCAACATCTCTTGCATCTCAGGTGCAGACATATGCCTTGAATTCTTCCAATCAGAGGCATCTGCTTCATACTAAATCAGAGGCTATTTCCTAAAGAAGCAAATGTGGTGAAGACAGTGGCTATGTCCAATTTCAGAAGTAGCAGTGAAAGTAGTTCCAACTGCAGAATCTGCAGTCCTCTGCCAGTGGTGCCAATGGTGACGATGCTGGATCTATGCCCAGTGGGAGGCAGTGATATATTCTTAGGACCCGTTCTGTGGCATGATTTTGGGTGTGTTCCCACTTGCCTAGCTACTGCACCTAATTGCCTGGGCAGCCTAGAGATTCTGTGAGTTACTCAGTATCCATCATAAATCCTCTTTCTGCTTAGATTGTCCAGAATCGGTTTCTGGGCTTGAAATTAAGAATCCTGACTGACACCCTTAGAAACCTGAACACAGTCCTTCCTGAGGAGTGGCAATAGATGGCCAGAAGCTGGATGGAGTTGTCTCTCCCCATTTCTTGTCTCTTTCTCTCTGTGTATTGACATCACTCTTCCCTCCCTATAGACCAACATACTTGGCCTGAGATAGGAAGTGGCTGCCCCACATCTCCCAAGTTTTGATATCTTCTCATTTCAAGAAGCTAGTCCAGAATGAGAACAGAATTTCTAACCTTTAATGAAAAATTGCAAGTGGAGGAACTTTGGCCCAACTTGGCCAGTCAACTACAGATAGGCAGGATCATGTTATACAAAAATGGTTGTTGGGTTTCAATCCCATGGATTGGGAGTGCATTTTCAGAGAGTGGGGAATATCTAGGTCATGGATTGGACCCAAAGGTGTCCACTACAGAAAGCAGTTAAATGCAGTGAAGTGGTGGGGAGAGGGTCAAAGGGCCAGGAGAGTGTAAGGCTGGAAAGTTAGTTCAACCTAAGATCTAGCAACCCTAAGGAGGCAAACTGAAAAATTAGAATTTTACTTTCTGAATGCTGGGGGACTACTGAGAGGCTTCTGATAATGTGTTACATATTCGAGGTAGGAAATTTTTAATGTACAGAAAAATTTAAATAAGAAAAAAATTATTCTCAAATGTACTGCCCACAATCACTGTTACCATTTGGGTGCATTTCCCTTCCAGTCTTTCTTCTACGTGTATACACACACACACATAATTGTAATTACACTCTATACGAAGACTGACCCTACTTTAGATGCCAATCAAAAGTCCAGATTGTCACCTGTGCTTCTGACCAACCGACTGACAAGTGATAAATCAGATGTTCCCACAACCCTTCCTTGGGTTCCATCATTTGCTAAAATGGCTCACAGAACTCAGGAGAACAATTTACTTATACAACTACCAGTTAATTACAAAGACTATTTCAAAGGGTACAAATGGAAGATGGAAGAGACTGCACAGGGCAAAGTATGTGATGGAGCATGGAGCCTCAGATATGCCACCCTCCCAGCAGCTCCACGTGTTCCCCTATCAGGAGGTTCTCAGAACCCAGTCCTTTTGGGGTTTTACAGAGGCTTCATTAAGTAGGCATGATTGATTAAATCCTTGGCCATCAATAATTAAGTCAACTATTTATCCCTTTGCCCCTCCCCAGAGGTCAGAGGTTGGGGAATGGGTCTGAAATTTCCAATCCTCTAGTCACGTGGTGGTCTCCCTGGCATCCAAGGGTTACCTAGGGAAACTCACCTCATTAATATAAAGTTACTAGTTGTTAAAAGGGGCTTGTTATGAATAACAAAAGACTCTCCCTTCACCTTTATGTCTCTTATCACTTAGGAAATTCCAAGGATTTTAGGAACTCTTTGCCAGGAACAGGGACAAAGACCAAATACATGGGCCCTCTGAATTCAACCAATCTGGAGTTGAAAATATATATATATATTTTTTTTAATTCCAGAAAGCTCCAAAAAGCAAAACTTAAATTTGCTTCATGCCAGCAACTATTTGCATAATATTTACATTTTATTTACAACTATTTACATAGTATTTACATTGTATTAGAATCTCCTGGTCTTCCTCTTAACTGTGGCTGCTCCTTCTTGGTTTCCTTTGCTCACTCCCTCCTTTCCTCTTTTCACTTTTTAAATGCTGAGTTCTCTTTTCCTCCCTTCTCCCCACTGCGAGCAATCTCACTGCTGGCCCTGGTGTTAAGGACTATTAGTCTCTAGGCTACAGATGCCAGTGTTTCTGTCTGCTTCTCCCAGACTCTCTAGCTAGGTGTCACACAGACACCCCTAAGCTCAATTGATTGTCTTCTGCCTGAACCCACAGCTTCTGTGTCTCCAACACTAAAAATGAAAGGCCTAATTATTCATTGGCATGATTGTTCATGCCAGAATCATGGCATTACTTCTGATGCTGAAGGAGAATTAATAAAATGGCCACACTTAGGCTAACAGATTGCTTACTCTTATGCTTGCTCTTAAAATGGCCAACTAACCTGACTGACCAGTTGCTACTCACAGCTCTAGGCCCATCCCCTTGTTAAAATAAAGCTATTAATGTTACTGTTTCTACTTTTTTCCAGTAATCAAAAGTAATAATCATGCTTGGTTTCTGAGTCCTTCTCCAGGGAGAAGGTCATGATACTGTAACTTTACAAAATAGCCTAAGAAGACCACGCCTTGGGCTCTAATAAGATAAAGAGACTGAAAGACAACCACTAGCCTCTACAGAATTGGTCACCTGGAGACACCATGATGCCACCCTGAGTCTTATGACAAGAAAATAATTCTGTTGATTGTTATTGATGTTTTATTGTTTAAGCTATGGCTATTAATCACCCTGCCCCATCCCCAAGATGGGTTCACAGTTTTTAAGGCACTAGCCTGCTGTGAGTTCTCTTCGCCTGGCAAAGCAATGAAGCTGTCTCTTTTTTTCTAAGCTCCAAGACCCTGTCTCTGACTTAATTTGGCTTGTCAGGGATGGGGGCTGATCTTTCGACAGCAATGCCCTTGTCCCCATTCTTCCACAAATTACCCATCAAGCACCTGCCATGCCCATCTGCTTTCTGATACCTTCACTTAGGAAGGATTTATTTTTTCATTTGTAAATACAGGCTAGATGATATGGGGCACCCAGAGAGAAATCCTACAGCTTGGCTTTCTCTGGGCCAGGCCCTCTTCTATAGGCTTTATCTGAATTAACCAACATCCTGGGAGGTAGGTACTATAATTAACCCCATGTTACTAGTGAGGAAACCAGAAGCACAGGGAAGTTAATTACCATGCCCTAGGTTTTATAGTTAGTAAATCAAAGAGCCTGCTTAGTTCCAGAGTTTTGATAAGGCTAATGAGGCTGCATGTTGTAAAGAACATGACTGACTTCAGAGTTAGGAACAGTCACATTCAATTAGTGGGAATCCAACACGAATTTCATAATAAAAAATCTATGTGTCTCACAGTTTACAGTGTGGTTTTGCATGTATTATCCCATTTCATCAGATTGGCAATATAGAGTCATGGTAAATGGCACAAGGTCTAGAATCAGGTAATCCCAATACTCTTCCCCAGCTCTGTCACAAATAGGGTAGGTGTTTGGGGGCCTCTTTTTGTGCTTCAATTTCTCTTTTGTAAAAGGGGAATAATAAAATTTACCTCATGCTATTGTGAGAATTAAATGAGATGATTCCTTTAAAGTGTTTAGCATAGTACCTGGCATGTAGCAAGTGTTCAAAAAAAATTAAATGAAATTATAAGATGCTGGCTTATTTTATTGGACACAGAAGATGTGTTAAATACATTCTGGGCCTCTTAAGTCTCATGACAGCTCTGCGAAGGTTTTGTCCTTATTGTATAGTGAATAGCACATGCTGACTAGGTGTCAGGTATTGTTCTAAAGCACTTTGCTAACTTGCAAGAATCCCAAGTGGGAGGTGCTACATATTATAACCCCTATTGTACAGGGGAAGAAACTGAGTGGAAGTTAAATAACTTGATCAAGTTCACAGCCAGTAAAAGAAGCAACCAAGCAATTTGTTCCCAAAGTCCGTACCCTTAACCTTATTCCCTTTTAACGACAGAGGAGGAAAACAGGCTCAGAAAGTGAAAATTCCCACTCCTAAGAAGGAGCTCTAGGCTGTTTTCAAACCCAGGAATTACCAACATGTCCAGCAGATGGCGCCCCAGGGCATAGCAATTGGTGGGATTTGCATAAGCGATCAAAACTATCATACCCACAATGAAGTGCGGGCATTAAGGCCCCCGCTTCCAGTTTAGCTGTCTGAGGCACTGCCTGTTTGCGCTCCAGGAGGAATGTGTTTATCCGAGCCATTCGGGTCTTTCCCCAATCTTAAGATGGCAAGTTAGAAGTTTTACCCACTTCATCTCGCTCTCCTTGTCTTACTCGTTGGAGAGCAGAAGTCTGAAACAACGCTGCAATTTGTTGGCTTCACCTGCCCTAGCCTAACGTGAGGACCCTTCAACTTTGACCCAAGGTGGCGGCGCCCGGAGCCGTCGCTCTTCCTGCCGACCTGACATGAACTAAGGCCAAGAACCCCGCATCATGTCGAAGCTAAGCCGGGCCACTCGGGCGCTCAGGAAGCCGGAGGCCGGCGGCGTGATCCGGACCATCGTGCGGGCAGGCCAGGCCATGCCCGGGCCCCCGCTGGGTCCCGTCCTCGGTCAGGTGCAGCCGCGGCAGGAACCGGGAGTGGGAGGAGCCCGAGGGAGCTAGAACGCTGGTGGAGGGTGCGGGCTGGAGCCAGGGAGGCCTCGATTTCAAAACGCGGCTCTAAGACGCACACGCTTTATGTCCCTGGGTTAGTTACACAGCCTCTTCGAGGCTCAGCTTCCTCAGTCCTTTGTCAACGGGCTGTTGTGAGGATAGAGAGGTATGAACCATACAAATCACCTGGTGCGTAAAATGGTAGTTAAATCCAAGTAAAAAGGTTGGGAACGTACGGAAGTGAAGCCAGAGGAGGTAACGGACGGAGCCTCCTGAGTGGTAGAAAGCCGTCCCTTCCTCCCCACGCTAACCCCTGTGCCTCCCTCACAGCGAGGCGTTTCCATCAACCAGTTCTGTAAGGAGTTCAACGAGAAGACAAAGGACATCAAAGAAGGCATTCCTTTGCCTATCAAGATTTTTGTGAAGGTGCGGAGTTGGGACTCTGATCCCCAGTTTCCTTCTCATTCCTTCAGTTCTTTCCAGGTCATGGAGCGAGGTGGTCACCTGGGGTTGCTACTCTGCTCCAGACTTGGAGCAAGCCTCTTTTTGTTACCGGGTCCCGCTTTCCCCATTTATAAAGTAGAGACTAAACCACATTTTTCCTGAGTCCACCCTGCCATATTGCAGATTTTTCCTTTGCCCCTCCAGCTTACTGGGGCTTCCAGGACAGAGATGGCCTGGAATAGAGGTGACAGGGATGTTTGTTGCAGATTTATTTTTCCTGTGGCTTTGTGGTCAGTTCAAGGAGCACTATAGGAAGATAAGGGAAGGGTAGGGGACAGGAAGTTAGAAATTCCCTGGGCTGAGGCAGCAGGGCTTGGGAGAAGCAGGAAGAAATATTCTCGTATTTCTTTTTTTCGTTAAGCCTGACAGGACGTTTGAAATCAAAATTGGCCAGCCCACTGTTTCCTACTTCCTGAAGGCAGCTGCTGGGATTGAGAAGGGGGCACGGAACACAGGTAAGGGACAGGGTGGGCATCTGGGATTCTGGGGGCTCTGGAGGGAAGCAGTGACATCTGAAGAACTACTTGTTTCTTCCTCCCAGGGAAAGAGGTGGCAGGCCTGGTGACATTGAAGCACGTGTATGAGATCGCCCGCGTCAAAGCTCAGGATGACGCCTTCGCCCTACAGGACGCGCCCCTGTCCTCTGTTGTTCGCTCCATCATTGGCTCTGCCCGCTCCCTGGGCATTCGTGTGGTGAAGGAGTGAGTGTCTGGGAGTGGTACAGCATGAGAGGAGGGCCTGGAAAGTTCTTGACTCTGGGAAAAGGCTGAGGGCCCACTGAATAGGAGAGTTAGCTTCTGAGTCAAAGGACCTTAGATTCTTGGGAGTAGGAGGCTTGTTCATTCATTTGGAATATAAATTACCCAGTATATATTGGACATTTTTCTGGACATTGGATGCAGGCAGGAAGGAGGTAGCCATGCTTGGCCTAGCTTCTGTGGAGCTCACAGTCCAGAGATGGAGGCAGGTCCATTATACTGCTGGGTGAAAAAAGGTGAAGGAGTGAAGCAAAGAAGTTCAATGTGGTCTGGGTGTCAGACCAGAGTTAGAGTGGGAAATAGGAGGCAGTGAGGAAACAGGAACCAGTTAGTTCTCAAATTCAGACCTGATCCTGAGGCCAATAGGGGGCCCCCTCATGCACTTCAAATAACATCAGGAATTATTTCTTTGAAGTGAGATTTTGGGCGAGAGAGCATCTAGCCCAGACAATGGCAGGGGCAGCACTCAACCCTTCGCTGGCCTCTTGTTGCTGGCGTCCTGCCCCCAGCAAAGGCTGACGGTTGTTTCCTGAGAGGAGTGGGGTTAAGCATGAAACAGGGATGGACTTGACTTTGCTTAGATCTTCACTTTTACCAGGGAGACAGAGGTGAGTAAATCTGATCCCTGCCCTGAGGGAGACATACATGCACCACTTGATGACTTCTTGATACAAAGTGTCTTGGAGCACAGAGGAAGGGCTGATTCATTTGGGCTGAGCTACAGCTGAGGGCTCAAAGGATGAGTAGGGCTTTAAGAAGGGAATGAAAGGCAGAGGTGATGGTGGAGTGGCATTCCTGGCAGAGGAAACAGATGAGCAAAGGTATGGAGGCTGGGAAATCCAGGAGGGGAGAACAGGGTCTGAGATAGTGACATGGGCACTTGTGAGCTCCCCACCAGTGACTGACCCCTTACTTACTGTCCGTTTTTTCTGTACCTGCAGCCTCAGTTCAGAAGAGCTGGCAACTTTCCAGAAGGAGCGAGCCCTATTTCTGGCTGCTCAGAAAGAGGCAGACTTGGCAGCCCAGGCAGAAGCTGCCAAGAAGTGACCCCTGCGCCCCAGTTCCAGGATTTTGAAGGGAGCACCTCAGGATGGGGCCAGTTGGGAAGGCTGTGCCAAAGGGGAGGAAGGGAGGTCACACCACCCTGATTATTATTTTTCTGACTTTTAATTATGTATTTTTTATGTGTATGGCTGTTTAAGGGATCAAGTCTGAATAAACATCTTTTGTCATCCACTCTCCATTTCTGCCTTGGGACCCCAGGGAAAGGGACTAGTACTGACAGTAGCCACCAGGGACAGACATTAGCTGCCCTGGGAAGCAGGAGTCTTCACACTGTTTCTCAGATGTACAATCTGAGGCTCATCCAAGCAGAGCGACTTGCACAGGGTCTGAATTGGCAGAGACTGGAGTAGAACCCTGGACTTCCAATTCAAAATCCTGTCTTTCCGCCCTTTCAAGGGGTGAGGGAATGGTCAGGGTGGGTGTGGGCCTGGGTATACAGGAGCAGCAGATGTTTCTGCTTCTGTCAGAAATACCTCTTATCTCTTGGGGATTTGCCATTCTCAACAGAAACAGACCCCTTTGGGGACTTCAGGTCACAGCCCCAATCAGGGTTACTACATGGAGTGCCATGGATCCCAAGGGCTACTTCAGGCTCTTTTATTAAGCTGAACCTGGCTCTGGGTCAGGTGTTAGCTGAACATGAAGTATTGGGGGTTTATGGCTACAAACTGGCAGAAGCAGCAAAGCTTCAGTAGATTCCTGCCCACAGTGGGAGAAGTCCTTGGGAAGTCCCTGGCCTTTTGTTTTCCCATAATTTGTCGTATCAAGGACCCTTCTCCTCTCAGAGAAGAGAGGAGGAGTCAGGAGAAATGGGGTTCACATTTATCAAGCACTTGTTACATGCTTGGCACTTTGTTTTACACTGAGAAGGTCTGGAAAGCACAGAACAACTCCTACAAGAAAATAAAAGCCTCAAGAGGTCCCTCCGCCCCGATGAGACTCCTGCCGATACTTTGCTGTGTATCTTGTCTATTTCTTTTCCCTTGTGCATTTATATATAATGCTTTAAAAAAATTAATTTGGGTCATACTCTAGGTATTGTTGTATTCTACTTTTACTTTTAACTTGGTAATTTAAAACATTTTTTCAAAATTATCTTCCTAAAACAATTTTTAATGACTCTTAGTATTCTGTCTTATGGGTAGGCTATTATTTATTTAACCAAGTCCTCAACTGTTGAGTATTTTGTTGTTTGCATTAAAAAGTGAAAAATACATACAACCCTGTGATGACCATCATTTGGTCCTCTGCTTCAGGGTCTCCCAAAGCTGCAATCAGTGTTAGCTGGGGCTGTGGTCTCATACCAGGTTTGACAGGGGAAGGATCTGTTTTCAAACTCACGTGGTTGATGTCAGCATTTAGTTCTTCTGAGCAGTCAGACTGAGGGTCTCAGTTTCTCACCGGTTGTAGTCAGAGGCCACCCTCAGCTCCATTCTGCCTGGCTGTCTCGGGCAAGTTACTTGACTACTCTGTGCGTTAGACCCCTCATCTATAAGACAGAGAAAATGATGCTTATCTCAAAAGGCTGCAGAAATCAGAGCATATGTGGTCAATTAATTTATGACAAAGGAGCCAAGAATATACAATGGGGAAAGGACAGTCCCTTCAATAAGTGGTGTTGGGAAAAGTGGACAGCCACATGCAAAAGAATGAAACTGAAGCACTGTCTTACAACAGACAAAAATATTAACTCAAAATAGATTAAAGATTGAATGTAAGACCTGAAACCATAAAATTCCTAGAAGAAAACAGACTCCTCTTTTTTTTTGTCTCTTTTTTTCTATGAAGGTTGCTCTATTTTGTGCTTTAAAAAATCTCTTTAGCTTTATTTACACATTTCTTGGAGGGGATAATTTGGTTTACTTATTTATCTATTTTTGAAGGAGATACTAGGGATTGAACCCAGGACCTTGTGCATGCTAGGCAGGCACTCTACCACTTGAGCTATACCCTCCCTGTGAAAACAGACTTCTCTTGACATTCGCCTTGGCAATGAGTTTTTTTTATCTGACCCCAAAAGCAAAGGCAACAAAAGCAAAAATAAGTGAGTGGACAAGTGGGACTGCATCAAATTAAAAAACTTCTACAACCTCAAAAAAAAACCAACAGAAATTGACGCAACATTGTAAACTGAGTATACCTCAATTTAAAAAAAAAAGATGCACAGCAAAGGAAACCATCAACAAAACGAAAAGGTAGCTGCTGAATAGGAGAAAAAAACTTTCAAATCATATATCTGATAAAGGGTTAATATCCAAAATATGTAAAGAACTTATATGACTCAATAGCAAAAAAAAAAAAAACAAAACCTAATCTTGAGTGCACAAACACGTACTCGGGTATCCTTAAAGAACAAGCAACATTTCTGACATCACATCTCCCTTTGGCCACTGCCCCATTTCTCTGTTTTCTGTCACTGCAACACCTGAAAGAATTATCTAAACAGATTGTTGATATTGTTCATCTCCCAGTCACTCTTTGTCTTGTAATGCTTTTCGTCTTAAAGTCTCTTGTGTCTTTTATTAAATACCCCTACATCAATCTCTCTTTTGTTTAGAGCCAACATGATATATCTTTTTTTACATCCTCTCAACCTTTTTCTATCTTTATGTTTTAGATGTTCTTGTAACAATGTTAGTTGGTGTGGCCGCCACTCTCAAAAATGACTCCCGAAGACCTCCACCTCCAGTAATAAACACTCTCCTACATTGCGCCTGGGTTAGTCTGTATCACTGACTATGGCAGAAGTGATGATATGTCACTTCCAAGATTAGGTTATTCTAATCCCGACAGCTTACATCTTAGTTACTTTCTGTCTTTTGAAGTAGCACCCACCTGCCTCTCTCCTACTACCCTAATCACTGGCAGCCACTAATCTTTTCTCTATGTCTATCCAAGGAAGGTCTTTGTCCTCGTTTCTAAAATGTTATATGAGTAGGCTCATACAGTATATGCCCTTTTGAGATAGTTTTCTCACCCAGCGTAATGCCTTTGAGATCCATCCAAATTCTTGCATGTACCACTACTTTTCTCCTTTTTCATTGCTGAATAGTATTCCCAGGCATGGATGTAACACAATTTATTTTATCATTTATTTATTGAAAGGCATTTAGATGTTTCACTTTTTGACTATTACAAATAAAGCTGTTTTGAGAATTCTTGAAGGATGAAATTTTCATTCCTCTGGGATAAATGCCCAAGAGTGCAATTGCTGGGTTGTATGGTCAATGTATTTTCAGTTATTTAAGAAAGAGTAAAATTATTTTCCAGAGTAACTGTACCATTTTACATTATCACCAGCAACCTATGAGTGATCTACTTTCTCTGCATCCTCATCAGAACTTAGTAGTGGTGTTGTTATGATTACTTTAGCTGTTCTAATATGTGGGTAGTTGTGTCTTATTGTGGTCTTAATTTGTGTTTTCCAAATGGCTGATGTTGTTGAAAATCTTTTCATGTCCTTATTTGTTATATATCTGTATTCTTTAGTGAAATGTCTCTTCATTTTCTGTCCATTTCTAATGATTTTTTTTACTGCTGTGTTTTGAGAGTTTTAGATGGGAGCCCTTTATCAGATATGTAGTTTGCAAATATTTTTCCCACTGTGTAGCTTGTCTTTTCATCTTCTTAACAAGACCTTTCACAGAGCAAAAGGTTTCAATTTCAATAAAGTCTAATTTATCAAATTTTGTTTCTTTTCTGGATCATCTTTTGATGTTATACCTAAGAACTCTTCACCAAGCTCTTAGTATCTAAGAATTTCTCCTATCTTTTTTTCTAAAAGTTTTATATTTGCAGTTTATTTATAGCTCTCTGTCCCCATCATAAAAACTTTATTTATAGCCATGTCTTAAGAACCACGTCCTCTTAAACGATATCCAGAGCATGGTTATGTCTTACATTTAAGTGTATGACCCATTTTGAGTTAATTTTTGTATAAGATACGAGGCTTAGGTTGAAATTCCCCTCCCCAAAAAGATATCTAATTACCCCAGTACAATTTGTTGAAAAAGACAATCCTTCCTCCACTGAATTGCTTGTACAATTTGAAAGGCTTATTTTGTTTCAGCTCCAAAACACTGGGGAAATTCAGTTCTGCCCCTCAGAGGTTTTGAGCTTAGCATCTCTTCCCATGCAGATCTGAAATCTGGCAAATGTCTAGATGGGGAACTTGGCAAGAGTTTTTGGCAGGCTCTCTTCTTCTTAAGGGTCTTTTCCCTTTAGTACCATGAGACTATGGGAGATTCTTGGTTGCCTTTTAGCTTTCGTCTCAGCCTCCCAGTCTCCTGCACCATTCCAGAATTCAGCAAATGTTCCGTGGGTGAAAACAGACCATGCATTTGGGAGTTCCAGTCTATTAATAACAGCCCCTCATGACCACCCAAAGCTCACTCTCAGTAGGTTCCCTCTGCCTGGACTTAACCCAACCAGCATGCATCCAGAATAGGAAGATGTCTCCAGGGAGGAAGATGACTGTGATCATCAGTTCACACAGGAAGGGCTCTTTTCTCTCTGGAATTTCAGTTCATCTAGTTCTTGTTGTTTCTACAGCTCTATGATGTCTTTGGTAGTATGAATTTTATAGCTAATTAATGTTTCTCTGATTATCACAATGGAACATTGTGTAATAAACCATTACACATAAGTAACTGCCACTGTAAATGACAACTATAGTTCATATGCAGTATATGCCCACAACTTTTTCTTCAAATACTGTTTTTTTTAAACTATGTGTTCATTGTATCAATAGTGTGATTTTCTTTCCTTCAAGTGCTGAAATAACTGAAGTAGAAAATAATTTTTTTTTAGAAAATAATATTTTAGATTGTGCACTTTCACTAAAATTTGGCCCAGTACATGATACATTAAAACAACCAGATCATAGACAGTTGGTTTTCAGACAATGTACAAGTGGGCCACTCAGCACATTGTTTTATAATCGTTGGCCAAAAAATAAATCTTGATATGGCTCTAGTATGTGCTGACTCTTCCAATATTCTATTTCCAGTTGTTTTCCAATTGAGTTTTAAATTTCAATTTTCATCTTTTTTTTCTTTCTAGAGGTTCTATTAGTTGTTTTTCAGGTCTGCTTTATCACTGTTATCATTTCATGTTCCCTGTAGATGTTCTTGACTTTGGAATTTATTTCTTTAAATACAACAAAATATAGT